GCTAGACTGAAATGAATAAATAAATATAAGACCCTATCAATAATAAGATGCCCGCCAATGAATGCATACCAAACGGTCATTTCTCGTAAAATTATGTGCACTAGCATTTGTGGAAAGTGTGCAACCTCCTTAGCACTTCAGAAGAAACAGAAGTCCTGTTATGGAAGGAAAAAAAACGGTAAAGATTAATTTCAAATGGTTTTTAGATTCTACACGAAAAGGATGTCAAACATCACGGTCGATTTTGTTAAAAATTCTAAAAAAAAAAAAAAAATGAAGCCGATTTATTTATTGCTTTTTCACAACAGGAAGAAATTGTATATAAGCGTTCAGATTTTATATATCTTTTACTGGTCTTAAAATGTTAATAAATACTTTTTAATAAACAGGTGTAGAATCTCCCACAACACAACCAGCCTTACCTCTTTGTAGGAAATGCACTCTTCCTATCTGGTAAGCCAAATTCTACTTTCAGACAATATAACAAGTATTCATTGGTCAATCAACTCCAATCTGGCTTGCTGATTGGTCAGTTCCGACCAATCAAACCGCCTGCGCGCGACCAATCTGTTTTCCCGCTCGTATGCTGGGAGCCACTCAGTGATTATATAAACCGAAAACGTGTGAACCTTCGGAGTAGTAATTACCAAGTTTCAAGATGTAACCTTCACCGACTCCCGTCTTAGTCATTGCTGACCAGACGTTAAAGACAATTAACAACTTTAGACAGTCAGATCTCCACACCTAGAGAGATGCCCATCAACCCCACGCCAGTCTAAACTCTGACTTTGCCGCGTTAAAATATTCACTGACTCGGTAACCGTCGAGCACACTATCTCTCTCTAGAACATTTCTCAAACTTCACTTACTATACTTTTCAAAGTGATATTTCTCACTACATAACAAGTATCAGTAACTAACAATCTATTTTTCTCAAGGTACGCAACTTTGAACAACTTTGAATATTTGTATAAATTGTATATAAATTGATGTTATTGTTATGCATTCAACTTTTGTCTTGTTTTTAACTTTATTTGCATGATTTGTTCCAAGTATTTGTTCTAAATAATTGTTGTGGACGAATGTCGTAGAACACGGCCTCAAAATTCCTTCTGATCAATTTAAACACAATCACCAGTCCGCAACACAGGTGTCAATATGTAATAAAGTTTTACTGTGTCCGAAATTTTAAATGTATTAGAAAATGTGGTCAAACACATACATCACTAGAAACACTTTTAACTTTTACTTACTTCTGTTACTTCATATTTAGTATCCGTTCAGTTATTAAACAGCTCCAAATAGTACATCGCTATCCATAGATACCCACTTAATTATATTCCATTTTATTACTATTCAAGAGAAGGAAAAAAACTGGGGCGTAATATAGCAACAACTCTAAGTAGAAGCTTATGAAGCTTTATTTTACTAATTCAGCTTTAGCGCTAAAAAATTATTTTATTGCGATGGATGGTTACAAGTAAAAAGGGAGATAAGACGTGCTTATTTTATTACCAAAAGGTAAGGGACATTACTCTCTAAAACTGGTTTTATGATACCTACGTCAGTATTTAAGGTAGACCATATTGTTGTATCGAGTCAACAGACGCAGGTGAGTTAAGAATTTCCGGTTGGTCCCAAGGCAAACATTCAAATTAGACTGAAAATGAATAAAGAGATATAAGATCCCATAAAGAATAAGATGCTTACCAAATAATTTTACTGAACAGTCACTTATAGAGAAGAACGTGATCTGCATTTTTGAAAGAGCACAACCCCCTCTATGGTGATTAAAAGATAACAATTTTATTCTGGAGGGGTTAAAATTTACAAAACGTTTCGTGCTCCAGTTAATAACTCATTTGAGGTCATGGTCGAGACCAGCAGTGTGTTTCATTTTTTTTTTTTTTAACGCAAGCAAGACGGGAAGCCACTAGGACGCAAGGGGTTACAGAAGATCTGGAGCAAGATCAGATAGGAGTGATAGAGGAAAGGATGTGGAGAAGGATAGTGGATAGATCAAGGCAACTGGAGATGTCGATTGACATTACATGTGAATAGTTGGAGATTATAGATCTCAGGGAAACTGGAATAGGCAGGGAGTTCCACAGGCGAGAGGTGAGAGATATGAAGCTATTGAAGTAGAAGAGACGGCTACATTTAGTAGCTTCGACAGTGAAAGGGTGAGATCGGGATGCCAGCCTCGTAGAGCGCTTAAATTCACGAAGTGTGGGAACCAGCGGATGCAGCTCCTCGGAGCAATTACCATGAAAGTATTTGTAAAACAGAGAGAAGCGACGGCGCGTCTGTGAGAGAGCGACTGTAGACGAGATGCCAGAACAGGGCCAATTATATTGCATATCCGCCTCTGGCGCTTATCAAGAACCCCGAGGTAAACAGAAGGGGCTCCAGGCCATCCGGACTTATTATTAAGACAGGGAGTAAATAGTTGATGCAGCGTAGTGGCGCGACTACATTGAATCAGCTGCAAGGAAAGTTGAGTCACTGTGTCGTGGCAGAAGCTTTTTTCTCATCAGAGTCCATTTTGCACATTTATAAATCTACCACTCGTCCGTGCATCGATCCTAACTTAGTATCTCGACTTCAGTCACTTTCTCACCGACATGACATGGCTTCCCTCTGTCTTTTCTACAAATATTTCCTTGGCAGCTGCTCTTATATTTCCCCACCTGGTGTTTTGATTAAATGAATCTAAACGTGCTTCTAGTTTGGCAACCAGGTCCCAGCCATTATCTGTTGAAATAGATAGATTTAGCCGCCACTTCTACTCCAGCTGTTTCTTTTCTTGCACTTCTCGCCTGTGGAACTCATTTCCTTTTACTTGCTTCTCTGATGAATACAATCTTCAAAAATTTAAATGCAACGTCAATCTCCATCTTCTGTCTTCTTGAATCTCGTCTAACTATTGCCCTTTCCTCAATGCTCCCTAAAGTCTTTTATTTTACTTTCACTCTCTGCAACCCCCCCCCCCTGCGCAGTAATGGCATTCCCGCCTTGCTCTGAATGAAACGATTAAAAAAAAAGAAAACATTATGAACAAGATACCGGTAATTGATCATTGCATCTTATAGACGATATTCAGTATCCCCCCACCCACCCACGAGGGTGTCATGTGACACAAGGCCTTTTTGACGTGGGTATTCCGTGGGATCGGCCAAAAATATGCCGATTGAACCCGTATAAACGGATTCAGGGCCGGTTTTACCTCCCCGAAGGAGACTCCGCCCCTCGCCGTAGCCTCCTTCGGGTTCCTCCCGTCCGTAGGAAGAGAGTACAAAGGAACAGTCGCTCAGAAAGTAATGGGTACTCCCGTCTAAATCTGAAACCACATAACCCTTTACAGCACTTAAAATCAATAACGGGAATTTTTCAAAGTGACGTTCTAAGGTCATGCTTAAGAAAAATCCATATCCTTTAATAATTTTATTACTGCGTGAAAGTCCATAAAATACAGGCTAAAATAAAACAACCTTACACACACACACACATACGTGTGCGTGCGCGCGCGAGATGAAAAACCGTCATCGATTTTACAAAATCGATCACACCAGGGCTGATATTTGGTCGAGGACTGAATGTACAAAATTTGCGCCACATCGTCCATTACTATCTATTCTCGATCCCGAGTCGCGTAGCCCATTCGGAGTGTAGCCATAGTAGCAGTGGCGCGTCTTAGGCAAGGTAGCCTGACGGAACCCCACCCTGTCTGGACTGGTTTGAATCCCAGTTTTACCTTCCCCTAGACTGATTACTAACCAAGTCTAAAGAATCCAGTCTGTTCTATTAATTAATCCATAGCTGGGCGTAGAAGAGACGGTTTCATGCCTTTTCCCAAGTAATTGAATGTAACGAACCCAACTGGAATTCGAACTCGGCTCTCGGTTTTATTATTCCGATCACTGCTATCCATTACCCCACCGCACATTGTAAGATAATTAAATCCTCTTCGATTTCTTATATATCCTTTGTCGGGAAACCACAGTATGATCCGACGTGCTTCGACCAAAAAGAGCTTCATAGCTTAACCACGGGCAATTAAACTTTGCGAGGCTAGAAAGCGCTCCGTGTATATATTGTGGGAAATTGGTATCCATTCTGCCGTTTTATTGCAACCATTCATCCTTGCATGGAATACTGCTGCCATATATGGTCTGGATCCCCCGCTGTTCATCTCGAGGTCCTCGACAAAATCCAGAAACGGATATGCAATGTGATTGGTCCTGATCTGGCATCACATCTACAGTCACTTTCTCAGAGACGTGATGCAGCTTCCCTCTGTCATTTCTACAAGTACTCTCATGGCGACTGCTCCGACGAGCTACTTTCACTGGTACCCAAACTGCATGAATTTAAGCGTGCTACTAGGTTGGCATCTCGGTCCCACCCTTTCACTGTCGAAACGATTAAATTTAGCCGTCTCTTCTACTCCAACAGCTTCTTATCTTGCACCTCCCGTCAGTGTAACTCCCTTCCTAACACTTGCTTCCCTGATAGCTATAATCTTCAAATATTCAAATGTAATGTCAATCGACATCATCTGATGCCTTGACCTTGACCTTTGTCCTTCTCTTTATCCTTTTCTCAAACACCTCCCTCTTTATTCTTACTTTCACTCTCTGTAACCTCTTTCGTGCTAGTGGCATTCCCGCCTTGCTTGGGGTGACTCGCTTAAAAAAAAATACCTCACTTTCATTTTATGCAAATATTTTTTGTATAGACCCATATGCGATGTTTCATACACGCGGATGCATATACAATTACAGATTCTATCTATTTATCTATGTAATTCCTAATCATAATAATGATTTCGTGATACAAATTACTTATAAACTAACCCAGGTGGAGAAGCGGGTGGGTTCATGCCTTTCCCAAGGGTATTTTCGCGTAAGTGAATATAAAGAACCCGACTGGAATTGGAACTCGGCTCTCCGATTAACAATTCAGAGCCATTATCTATTACACCACCCTCACATCTACGTTTACAGTACCTGTTATTCCCAAGCGATCACCCATCTAAGTACTGCCTGGGCTTGACGTTGCTTAACTTCGGTGATCGAGTGGGAATAAAAATCTCTGGATATATGAAATTACTACCTTCATTATTTTTTTCTTCTTTTTAGAAAAATAGAGAAACGTTGACTGATTATTCTTTGTCGGTTTAAGAAGCGCCATTTTATTATGAGCGGAAGAATATCCAAATCAATATCACGCTATTTTATAACGTCATCACTTTTGCAGCATTTCTCAAATTACGTAGACTGTGAAAATCCCTGACTTTAATGAAATAGTCAATTATCTGTTCGATTATCAAGAAAATTATTTATTTCTCTAAACTAAGAACAAAAAAAAAATTTCTAATCTAAGAACAAAAAAAATCTCAAAAAAAAAGGTGACAAACTCTATATTCTATAGATGTTAAAATCTAGTCAAAAGATATCATATATTAACAAGTGATAATCGAATATGCACGATCTCACTTTAACCACTGTACCACAAAGATATCGCTATCATTTAATATACACTTCGTGTAATAGTAAGTAGATAATTCGATCCTCACGGGGTGTCCCATTTATCGGGATTGTGTCACATCAAAGCTATGCTTAGTAAATCACTATGTTACGCATAGAAAATTGCTATTTTAAACAAATGTTAAGCAATTGGTCGTGGTGTAATGATTGGCGAGAGTATCTCGTTTGAACAATTACAACCGAGAAATTTCACTTTTGATCATAGAGAGAAAGTAGAAATTTCACTTTTGATCATAACGAGAAAGTAGAAATTTCACTTTTGATCATAGAGAGAAAGTAGACATTTCACTTTTGATCATAAAAAGAAAGTAGAAATTTCACTTTTGATCATAACGAGAAAGTAGAAATTTCACTTTGGATCATAGAGAGAAAGTAGAAATTTCACTTTTGATCATAAAAAGAAAGTAGAAATTTCATTTTTTGATCATAAAGAGAAAGTAGAAATTTCACTTTTGATCATAAAACAAAGTAGAAATTTCACTTTTGATCATAAAAAAGAAAGTAGAAATTTCACTTTTGATCATAACGAGAAAGTAGAAATTTCACTTTTGATCATAGAGAGAAAGTTGAAATTTCACTTTTCATCATAAAAAGAAAGTAGAAATTTCACTTTTGATCATAAAAAGAAAGTAGAAATTTCACTTTTGATCATAAAAACAAAGTAGAAATTTCACTTTTGATCATAACGAGAAAGTAGAAATTTCACTTTGGATCATAGAGAGAAAGTAGAAATTTCACTTTTGATCATAAAAAGAAAGTAGAAATTTCACTTTTGATCATAAAGAGAAAGTAGAAATTTCACTTTTGATCATAAAAACAAAGTAGAAATTTCACTTTTGATCATAAAAAGAAAGTAGAAATTTCACTTTTGATCATAACGAGAAAGTAGAAATTTCACTTTTGATCATAGAGAGAAAGTAGAAATTTCACTTTTCATCATAAAAAGAAAGTAGAAATTTCACTTTTGATCATAAAAAGAAAGTAGAAATTTCACTTTTGATCATAAAAACAAAGTAGAAATTTCACTTTTGATCATAATGAGAAAGTAGAAATTTCACTTTGGATCATAGAGAGAAAGTAGAAATTTCACTTTTGATCATAAAAAGAAAGTAGAAATTTCACTTTTGATCATAGAGAGAAAGTAGAAATTTCACTTTTGATCATTAAAAGAAAGTAGAAATTTCACTTAAAATCATAAAGCGACAGTAGAAATTCCCAAGGTATATAATGAGGAGAAAGGATTTTTAAAAATGTAAAGGAACAGAGAAAAACAACGCATAGCCTACCTAAAGAACTTGAGTAAATCGATGGCGAGAAAGGGTTTAGGAGAGATAAGAAAATGTCAAAATTTATTAGGATCTATACAAGAGTCGAAATTGTGGAGAGCCATGATCACCAACGTCGTGAAGAAACATGGCTCATAGAAGAATTTATTAACAATATTTAATAATGAATTAGAATAACTAAAACAACATCCTTTAACTAGTTATCATGTACAGAAAATTCGTTGTTTTTTTTTTTCGGAGGTTTCAATAATGTGAGCAAACGATATTTTTCCTTCCTTATCAAGTCGAGAATTTTCACGTTTTAATATAAAGGCAACACTTTATGGCATCTCTCTGGCATGCCCAGATTGCCGACATCATTGCATTGAGAGCATTATTATGTTAAACATGTAAATTGTTCATTTTGAGGTTAACCGCGGGAAACTGAAACTGAGTTAATTAAAGCCGCGAAACGTGAAACCACAGTTAAATGATAGCCATTGTAATTTTAAGTATGATATAATATTTCACTTTAGAGGTACTTTAGTTCCTTAACCATTTTCACAAGAATAGCCATGGGAAGATAGCAGCGATGTCTTTGGTCATATTATATTCATTTAGATTAAATATTAAATTTTTCGTCCTCCGGGTAAACGATTAGACATCCTGCGATATTCATACGCAATATTAAGAATGCCTTGGAGAATTCGCAGATGTTAAATTGATTTTATAATGATTATCTTTTAGTTGATTTATTCCTTACTTGATTCTCTGTAAATACGCCTGTATGCCAATGCTGTGCCATTTCTGAAAATATCAACATTGCTGATGCTATCCTCCAGAGAAGTGACTCATTGCTCCTTCTCGTGTTAACGCAATGATTCTCAATCGCTGCTAGGCGGCTCACTGGTGTGCCGCGCGATCTTCTTAAGTGTGCCGCGAAATACTGTCACAGCATACATATATATGTGTGTGTGTGTGGAAGTGGAAATGTCACAGCGTTAGTATTTGAATAAATGAATAAGTATTAAACTTTTTTTTTCAAATAATTATATTCAATAATTCTTTTTAATTTCAAAACAAAATCTCATATTAGCTGAAAACGCTTTATCAGCTTTATTGTAATTTTCTACTTCTTGTGTATGTGAATTAGGCTTCTCAGGCCTAAATAACATCAAAAATAAAAAGCAAGAAAGAGTACGCTCAACTGAAGAAATGGGGGTCTGCTTATCACCCATTGGAACATTTTGGATTTCAATACAAAAGGAATATTCCACATTAGGTAAAAATGCTTTATCAGTTTTATTGTAATTTTATACTTCTTATTTATATGAATTAGGATTCTTAGACCTAAATAACATCAAAAATAAGAAGCAAGAAAGACTACGCTCAACTGAAAAAGAAATGGCGGTCTGCTTATCACCCATTGATACATTTTGGATTTCAGTACAAAAGGAATATACCACATTAGCTAAAAAAGCTTTATCTGTTTTATTGCAATTTTCTACTTCTTGTGTATGGGAATTAGGCTTCTCAACCTTAAATAACATAATAAGAAGCGAGAAAGACTAAACTCAACTGAATAAATGAGGTTTCTGTTTATCGAACATTCGATCAAACACTGAGGAAATCGCCGCAAACACCAGACTCAAGTGCCACACTAAATAAACATCACAAATAATTGAAATTGAATCGAAACTTTGAAATTAAGTTTATATTTGGGTATGTATTGTTTTTAAATCTATGGTTTTATTTCATAGCATTTAAATGTTTACCCTTTAAAAATGTTGCTAAGTGTACCGTGAAATATTCATTTGCTCCTAGGTGTGCCGTAGCTTAAAGAGGTTGAGAAACACTGAGTTAACGTTACAGTTTAAAGTGAAAGTGGAAAGATTATATTGAATCAATTGCTAGGTCTGCTGCTAGGAAAGTTGGTTCACTGTGTCGTGCGAGACAAGTTTTCTCGCCAGAATCTATTTCCCAGGTTTATAAGTCTACCATTCGTCCTTGCACTGAATATTGCTGTCACATCTGGTCTGGTGCTTCTACAATGTATTTACAAACTCCAGATAAAATGCAAAGAAGAATCTGCAATGTTATTGGTCCTGACCTGACATTCCGGCTTGAGTCACTTTCCTGCCGCCGTAATGTAGCTTCCGTTCTACAAATATTTCCACGGTAATTGTTCAGATGATCTTTCCACCATCGTACCTAGACTTGATGAATATGAGCGCAGTGCTAGATTGGCGGCAAGGTCTCATCATTTTACTGTGAAAAGGGCTAAATATAACCGCAAGTTCTATGCTGACAGTTTCTTCCCCCCCCCGCACGTCTCGCTTGTGGATCTCCCTTCTGCTTTCTTACTTGCCAGTCAAGTTTGATCTTCAAAAGTTTAAATGCAATGCCAATCGTTATCTTCAATCTTCTTAACTTCTGTTCTTCGATTATTACAACCCCTTAATTATGATTTTTCTTTTATTCTTTCACACTCAAAGAATTCAGAATGTTTTTTTCTTTCTTATTTTTTAGAGTAAGGTTCAACCTGTACAAAGCCGACGGGCCACTTGAGATAGAGGGTTACATTAAGAGGCAGTTTATTTGAACAGAAGAGGAAAATAATAGTTAACCCTAGACTTGAACAGGTTAAGATTTTAGTAATCAGGGAAGCATCCTCTTGGGAGTCGGTCCCATAGAGCAGTGATTTGTGGCAAGAAACAGTTTGAATGAAACTTACTTCTCACCAGTGGAATACGGTGAGGTCTGAGGGTGATTTGCTACAATATGAGTGGCGTGGTGGATCCTAGTTAGAATGTAGTTCTACCGAGCACTTTCCAATGGAAGGTAATGAAGGAAGGCAAAAAAGAAAAGATTAAACATCAATTGCAAAAAGACAGAAGACATGATTGACAGCAAAAGAAATAGTCCAACACATAAATAACAAAATTAAACAAATGCAAAGCTGCAAATATCTAGGAAGTGTTTAAACAGAAGTTCCTGACCTGACATGTCAGTTTCAGTCAATTTCGCACCCTCATAATTTAGCTTCCCTATACCTTTTCTATAAATAATTTCATGGCAAATGTTCTGATGGATGAAATGGCAACATGTAGCCTTAAGTTCTGTACTAATCATTCCCTTTCTCGCACTTCTCACTTGTGGAATTCTCTTCTGGCTTCCTGCTTTCCAGTCAGGTTTGATCTTCAAAAATTTAAATGCAATGTCAAGCGTTTTTTTTTTCTATCCTCTTAAATTCTGTTCTTTTATTGTTCTC